TTTATGTCTAAACATGCATAGGATTATTCCTAAATGAGTCGTTTCTGAATGCCAACAGCTCTCCTGGGTTTCAGGCAGAAAATTGCCTTTCCTTCCCATCAGCTGCTAAATGGCTAAGTCAGGGACTGAATCTGGAACCTTCTGCACCCACCCTGGTGATCTGCCAGTGGGTCACAGCTGCTTTCATATGCCTTGGCCAAGAACTGAGAGTTCTCATTAGACTTTTCAGATGAGATGCAAGATCTGCTTAGCAATTTGTAGGGGGAAGCAAGCTGACTCTGGCCACCATTCCCTTCTGGGGGGGTCTGGAGATTTCCTAGGAGAAAGCTTATGGGACCTGACAGAAAGTAAAGCCCATCAGATGGTTTACTCATCAGACATGGGGTTCCTCTTAGCCTTTCTGCAGCAAGGTTGAGTGGTCTTAGCTGACGAGAGCGCAGGCTCCTTTCCCAAAGCACATGAAGTGGGCACCAGGCAATTCTCAAAAAGTCTGAGGTCCTCCCTTAAGTGCAAGAGGTGTGAGGTTGGGCAGTAATCATCGCCATGTCTGCCTTGGAATCTTCCAGGGATTCTCTTCCAGATAAATCCGGCTTGTCCAAGGAGCAATCAGCATCTTTAGAAGAGGAGCCTCCAAGTGCAGCCAGTCCTGAAGCCCAATTGCTGGGTCAGAGGGCTGATGCAGATCCGTTTTTCTTAAGGGGAACAGTGGTAGATACCTGCCCTTCCTGGGTGGACTCACTCTCACTTCCCCAGACGCTATTACAAATTGCACTGCCCTTCTTGCTTCTGGAAGGTGCCAGGGGTTGCCCTGGCGGTGTCCTGGAGCGCCTCACAGATCCTGACATGGTGATGCCACAACCCTCTTTGGCTGCCTCTGCCTCTCCTTCCTTCCCTGGAAAACACAAAGCCTCTAGTCAGACACCTCTGAAGCATGCAGGTGAGACAAAAATGGTCAGCTGGTTTTGTTAGATAGGTTTTATCAGGAATGTAATTTTCTTTGGTGGAAAATTTCAGATCAGTTTTCCCCATCTCCAAAGAAAATCACCTATCTGATTGGCAAGGAAGGCCAGTGCTTACTTGGCTGGCAACTAAATTTAGTACTGCTTTATTGGTAAGAAATACTGCTTCGTATTGGTATGATAATGGCAAGGTATAATGACCCCATAGATGATATGGGTGCTTTTTTCTTCCTCCATCCCCTCTCATTTCTGTTTGACCATTGCCATAATATTAGTGCATTTTAGATTTTATTTTGTTATTTTGTGATGGTGGATCGTCAATTCAACCATCAGTTTTGAATGCATGCACATTCATCTTTCTTTGCAAGGCTCTGAAGCACAACGAAGAAAACCTGTTTATTTATTTATTGCCTTTATATAATGCCCTAACAGACCAGAGGGCTCTCTAGGCAGTTCACAAACATTAAAACCCCATATATCCAGCTGTGCAGTTTACAAATATTAAAACCCCATATATAAAAGCTGTGCTTTCTCTGCGCAGCTCATCATTTCTGCCCATTCTAAACACATTCCAACCATTAAAATCGTGCCAGGACACCTCATTTTTCTAACCCAAACCCTACGCTTGTGCACATTCCTAACCCTCATACAGGGCTAAACTTCCATTAAAACTAATGCGATTTTGAGTAGCTTTTTCTGCACATCTCAACATTTCTGTCCATTCTAAACACATTCCAACCATCAAAATCATACCAGGACACCTCGTTTTCCTAACCCAGTGATGGTGAATCTTTTAGAGACCGAGTGCCCAAACTGCAACCCAAAACCCACTTATTTATCACAAAGTGCCAACACTACAATAAAACCTGAAAACAGCCAGTCCAAGCGTATGTATGTATGTATGTATGTATGTATGAATGACTTGGCTCATATGCCACTGTGGCACGCGTGCCATGGGTTTGCCACCACTGGTTTAGTCTCTTAATGGGCTGGTAGGAATATATGGGAGCAGGCAATCCTTCAGATATCCTGTCCCTAAGCTGTTTAGAGCATTAAATGTTAAAACAAGCACTTTGAATTGGGCCTGGACTTCAGCTTGGCAGCCAATGCTGCCGATTCTTTGGAATGCTCTGATGTAGGAATGGAGAAACCTAACGGGAGAAATAGAATTATGTAGATAAGTATGTTGTCCCTCCCTGGACAATTATTTGGCCTCTGATGAAGCTATTGTTCTCATGGAATCCTATTCTTCTCCCGTGTAGTAGATGCACTCTTTCAAAAGTTTAGTATGGAGTCACAGGTAACACAGTGCTTCCTGGACCCAAACATTTTTTTAAAGGCTGGAGTTCCCCAGTTATTCCATAGCCTTTTAAAGGCTGGAGACGTTTTCCAACCTGGTGTTCTCCAGGTGAATTGCACCGCCCCTGCCATCACCCCCGACTTTGATGGCTGCAGATGGGAGTGGCAGCCCAACACATGAAAATCCCTGGGAACTTGAATCCATGGATGGGGCATCACAACTGAGAAGGCCCTGCACAGGTGAGCCATCCTCCAACATCCTCAAAGTAAAAGTCACACTTCAACATTGTCATTTCCAATGAGGAGCTGCTGAGCACCAGAAGACACCAAGTCATGCTTTGGTCATGCCTTAGGTCCACAGGAATGTCACACTCGGGCAGGGGAAAGGGAAATAGAGGACAGGCATCAGAAGGAGCATCCCAGCAAAAGCAGGCAAAGCATCCCGCCTTTGTGACTAAGGGGAATTGCCCGTGAAGGACTTGCTTGCCTAGCATGGACCCGGCCAGTTCCAAACCTGAGCCATGCCTGGGAAGAACGGGCTTGCCAGGCATGATTTCCGGGCTAAGAAAAGACTTCCCCATGAAGGGGACACTTGCTCTGAGCCGTTTCAAATGGTTTTCCCCAGAGCTGAACTAGGCCATGGCACGAATGTTTGTTTGTTTAAAACTATTGTATTCCTGTCCCCCATGCAAGCCATCTCCGGACGGATCACAAGAAATACATAAAACAAGCGATAAATTGCATACACTAAAACAATCCCAGCAGTAAAAGCAAGACAACACAACTGTTGGATTAATACTACTTTTTAAAATACCGATTAATTAAAAAGGTTTTACCCTGGAGTCGAATAGAGTATAAGCTGTTTGAAGGGGATGCTTGCCTGGCATGGCCAGAGACCATCTATCTACAGAGCCAGCCTCATGAGGAAGAGGCTTGCTGGCTCAAGGCTAAACTGGCACTCAGCAGAGGCGTCCCCTTGAAAAGGAAACACACCTCTAGGAGCTGAAAACATGGTCACCACTTGAGGTGGACTATAGCCAGAAATGTTGAGAATTTCGCACTTATCTCGGCCATCCCATGAAGAGCTGGCATGCTGGGCATGCTATCAGTACAAGACAGTGGTTCCCCATGAAGGGGATGCTTGCCTAGCATGGGTAGAGAACACATATCTATGGAGCCACATTCATGAAGAAGTGGCTTGCCCAGCACAAGGCTAATCCGGCACTCAGCTCAGGCTTCCCCATGAAGAGGAAGCTCACCTCTAGGAGCAAAAGACACTGTCACCCCTTGAAGGGGGCTCTGGCCAGCAATGTAGATAATTTCTCATTGAACTTGGCATTTTCATGAAGGGGTGGCCTGCTGGGCATGTTTTTAGTCCAATAAAATGGCTCCCCATGAAGGGGATGCTTTTGTGGTGTGGCCAGAGAACAGCTGTCAACACAGCCAACCTCATGGAGAAGCGGCTTGCCCGGCACAAGGCCCAATTGGCACTTAGCGCAGGATTCCCCATGAAGAGGAAGCTCGCCTTGAGGAGCCAAAGATACTGTCACCCCTTGAATGGGGCTCTGGCCAGGAATCTAGAGAATTTCTCATGGAACTCGGCCTTCCCAGGGAGAGGTGGCCTGCTGGGCATAATTCAGCATAAGACAAACGCTCCCCATGAAAGGGA